TTTGCCTAAAATTCTTGGCTTGGAGACAGAAACTATTCTAAGTACAGCACTCTGAAGATTTGGGAAGAGGCCTACCTGTTGTGTAGGCTTCAGGGAGAGGCCATGTTGAGTACTAGAAGGGTATCAGCACACTTGGTGACCAGCAGTGAGCCATGTAGAAGCTGGCACAATAGCTCATCTACAAAACAGAAATAATGTCATCCATACTAAATAGATTTGTTTTTATTGTTATTATTTTATTGGTTTTATTGTATTTATTTGTTATTATGTGTGTGTATAAGGGGGGGTTCGGACACTTGCATGTAGGCATCTGTGGTGTGCAGAAGAGGGTGTCAGATCTGGAGCTGGCCAGGAAGGAGGATGGAAGCTATCTAGTGTGGATGCTGGGAACCAAACTCAGGTCCTATGTAAGGGTACTATGTGCTTTAAACTACTGAGTCAACTTTCTGGCTCCTTGGTGTGTTGCTTGGGGGGTTAATAACGTGTGCAAAAGGCTTGAAACAATGACAGGCAAACAGCGAGCACAAAGCCTGCAGCTGTCTTCATTGCCCTCCTCATAAGCTGTAATTCAGTAGGTTTTGGTGTCGTCTAAAGATTATGAGGATGGCCTGTACTTCATGGGGGGTGTTTTGAGACAGACCAGGCCTTTGCAGGGTTCAGTCCTGTGTCCTCCTGCTTAGGAAACTCTAGTCACTTGTCTTAGTTAGGGTTTTATTGCTGAGAAAAGACACCATGACCATGACAACTCTTATCAAGGAAAATATCTAATTGGGACTGGCTTACAGTTTCAGAGTCTAGTCCATTATCCTCATGGCAAGAAGCATGGCAGGGATAGTGCTGGAGAGGCCAAGGATTCTACATCTTGATCTGCAGCCAGCAGAAGTAGACTGTCCCACTGTGCATGGCTTGAGCATATATAAGACTTCAAAGCCCCACCTCCACAGTGACACACTTCCTCCAAGGCCACACCTACTCCAACAAGTAGTGACAATCCCGCTGGGCTGTGGGGGCCAATTACCTTCAAACTGCCATACCACTCAAGCACCCCTTTCTCAAACTGTTCTCAGCTTTGGGAATGGACCTCAGATCTAGAGACTCACAAACCCTGCAGAGACTGCCAACCCACAGATTCTACCCCGTCCCCAACATGTCATGCTCTGTCCTTGCTCGCTTCCACCCAGTCCCTTGTGGTCACTCTCCTGTCCATGCCCTCGTGCCTGGCTCTCTCCCATCACTCTCACCAGCAAAGCTCCAGCTTTAGTGACTGACACTCAGCTTGTCCTGCTTCAGTGCACTGAACCTGGCTGACTGGGTTTGCTCTAAGTTTTGATGGCTGACCTCAAATGGGTACTTTGCAGTATGGCCTGCTATTTCCACCACACTTCCATACTTCCTGTGCTTTCTGACTCTGAGAAGATAACTGTCTAGAACACACCTCTCCTCTACCCTCTAACCTTCCAGCAGCCCTGTCTCATTCTCTGGAAGCAGTCCTGGGTCAGTTTACAGAGAGCAGGAAGCGGGACCTCCCTGGCACTCACACCTCTGCACCGGCTAGCCTGGTACACCTGGGGCCCCCTACCTTCCCTCGCCCCTGCTTCTCCTCCCTGCACCATTGCTCTGGCTCCTGATGTTCCATGAGTCTATGAAGTAGAACAGCCCGTTCCTATGCTGGGAGGGTTGGGAACTGTATTAGTCAAGAGTTTCTAGAAGAACGGAATAGGATGAATATATGTTATGAAAGGAATTTATTAGATTGGCTTGTGTGAAGGGCTTGGGCGATCCAACCGCGGGCATCAGCACCATAGGGAGTCATTAGCTGGCAGTACACAAGGCAGTGGCTGAAGGCCTGGAGGAGTGCTGGTTTTCAGTGCACATTGGAAGGCTCAAGAAGCTAGGTTCTGATGGCACTGAGGAATGGAAGCAGGCAAAACCAAACAACAAACAAACCAAAAAAATAAATAAATAAAACCAGGAGCCCAAGTTATCCCATTTCTCTGATTAGCTGATTTTTACTACAGGATGACCAAGCTGGCTAGCAGTGAGAAAGAGCACATATGAGCGAGGAACTGAGGTGAGCGTGGAACTGAGGACTAGTGGGAGTATCAGACACTGGCTGGGGAGGGCCTCATTGAAATGTCCACAATATGAGTGAAGGTGTGGGGTCGGGGAGCTGCATGGGCATCTCTGGGAAGGGCTGTCCAGGGAGGTTATGGCCATATATTGAGGTGGAGCTGTGTCCAAATTGTTCTGCAAGATGGAGGTGGCCAGGATGGCACGAGGAAGAGAAGAAGAGAGAAAGACTAGGCTGGGGTGGGCGAGAACGGCACGGAAGGTAGATAGTGCACAGCCTCCATGTGGTAAGATTGTTATTCTGAGGGAAGTGCGAATCCAGTTGTGGGTTTTTTTTGTTTGTTTGTTTTTAACAAATGAAATGACTTTAACAATGAGGTTAATCACAATTTACAACTGTCTCAAAAATTCCCCTTTTGAAGGAGTATCCAAATTTGTATCTCCATTTAAAGAAATAACTTGCATGGAGTAAAATAAAAATTTATAATGTGCATAGTATTAATAATTATCATTTAGGGACAGTACACTAAGAAAGGCCATCTGTAGTGCTACAAATTAATGATATTTTTATTATATGTGTATGCTCTGCTGCCATGTCCTCGCCCCATGTCTTCACTTATACCATGCATGTTTCAACGAGGCCTTCCCTGGTGTGTCTGGTGCCCTGAAGGCCAGAAGAGGGTGTTGGATCCCCTGGAACTGGAGTTATCATTGGGAGCTGCCCTGTGGATGCTGGAAGAGCAGTCAGTGCTCTTAACTCTAAGGTTTCCCTTCAGCCCTCCCTTCAGGATTTAAACAAGAACCATGAACTGCCTTTAGTTGCCTGCATTTTTAAAAAAGAAGCTTTATTTGGATAAAATTCACAATTAAATAATGTAGCTATTCAAAACATACACTCATAAGGCTTTTGCTATATCCACACAGTTGTATAACAACCAGATTTTATTATTAGTCTTATTTTAGAATCCTTTTATCACGCTGATGTCTTCAGTGCTCCTCCCAGGTCTTTCCACCCTGCACCCCCACACTCTAATCCCAGGCTTTCCTATTCTGTTCCCAAGGGTTTGTCGACTAGAACATCTTGCATGAAGGAAGCAAATAAAATGGAGTCTTTATTTTTTCACTTGGCAGAACGCCTGTTATTTGGTTGTTTTATTTTGTTTTGAGACAGGTCTCACAGAGACCATGGTGACTTTGAAGTTACTATATAGCCAAGGATGACCTGGAGCTTCTGATTTGCTCCAGCCTGGAGAGTGTTGGCATTACAGGCGACTGACTACCTGATGGAAGGGAAGACAGCTTTTGGTTATTCGGAGGCACATGCAGTTTTTCTAAATGCATGGTACAAAATAATCCAGCCAAGAGCTTTCCACCTGAAAATTCCAGCCTATCCTGTCCATTTATTCTGTGCCGAGGATAGAACAGAGGCTCTCATTACACCCTGGGAGACAAAGGAAGTGCTCCTTTCCTTTTCTACGGCTGAGTAATGTTTCCACATATGGATATACCTCACTCTTTTCATCAACAGAGGGTCTGTAGAGTGAGGGGAATGACCCTGAGTGGCATTAAGCCAGACTTACTCCAGCTGTTGCCCAAGGGACCAGAGAGCAACCAACTATGTCAAATGCTGCTTTTAAGGAAAATAAGATGAGATCCAAGAATTGACCAGTAAGTGCTCAAATAGTTTAATGAAGAAAGGAATTTAATTAGCAGAAATATTCTTATGTATAATTTATAAATGGCATTTTATGGGTTTATGGGATTTGTTGCATTTCCTTTGAATAATTAAATATGGAATACAGATATAATACTTAAATAATTAATAAGAATTGTAAGTGGAATGCTAGGCATGTAAAGGTACAGGAATAATTGGAGAGCATCATTAATTTGTAGTGGCCTTTGGTATTTCTTTATATTACTGGTAGTGGTTTTATTTTTTTTCTTTCTGGTTTGTGGGGCATTTACTCCTAGAATAGTTCTTCTCTGAACAGAACTCATCACTATGATAAGTGTCCAAGAGTTCATGCCAACTTCCATAAACTGACCAAGAAAAGAAGTTGATTGTTTCAAGAAGGTGTGTTTGGTGTCTGAACAGATCAGTAATATGTGAGCTCCTTTGTGTGTGTGTTGTGTTGTGGGTTTTTTTTTGGGGGGGGGATGGGAACAGGGGCAAGACTCTGTCATCTAAGAGATTACACCAAAAATTTACAGTACTAAAAGGACATTTCTCAGTTCAAGGCCAGCCTGGGCTATACAGAGATCCCATTTCCAAGCAAACAAGCAAGGAAGCAAACAATGGGGCTGGGGTAAAGCTCAGTTGTAAAATTCTTGTCTAGCATGCAAAGGCCACTAGGTTTGATTCCCAGAACCTTATAAATAAAAATATGTGCAGACCTGTATGTAATCCCAGCACTCAGGATGTGGAGGCTGGAGGAAGAGAAGTTCAAGGCCTTTTCCCCTTCAAAGCGAGTTCGAGGTCATCCAGGGCTGCAAGAGACCGTGTATCAAACATTCAAATGGCTTCTGTCATTTGTTGCAGCAAAGGTACACACTGGAAATAAATGCATCTACCTAGTAGTTAACAGGTCACCCAGTTGGGGGCTCATGTTATATGGAGGGCCGGTAAGTCACTGGGTTAGTGATTGCAGGGCCCTTAAACTGAGTTTTTAGGACGATTGGGTGGGCTCGATGGTCGTGTTCGAGAACATTTCAGAAAATAACACAGGCTTTGGAACTTGCCTGGCAGCTAGGCAGGGACTACAGAGTCGGAGGCAGGCGAAGGCCGGGAATTTGGAGAGGATCCCTAAGCGGCAGCGGGCGCGCGCGGTGCGCGTGTGAGCGAGGGCGAGCGGCGGGCGGGTTGTGCGCCGGGTATTGGCAGGCGGGCTGTGGAGGCTGGGCGGTTCCGACTGCCTGACGCCAGCGCGACCAGATCAATCCAGGCTCGGGGAGCGAGCGGGCGCACCAAGGCGAGGCCAGGGCCGAGGCGCGGGGACCGCGGCCGGGAGCTAAGCGGAGCGCGGGGACGGCGGCCGAGAGCGGATCGGAGCGCGGGACCCGGCGCCGGGTCTCGTGCGTCCCCGCCGATGGGCGCGCCGCCGAGCCGGTAAAGCCGAGCGTACCCGAGCCGACGCGAGAGGGACTTGTCCTGTGCCGCGAGGGACGCACCGGGACAGGGACCAGCTCCAGGGGGATCCCGGGCGGGCTCCCGGGGGCATCCCGGGCGGGGTCCAGGGAGGGTCGGGGACGGGCTCCGAGGGGATTCTGGGCAGACTCAGGGGTCGATCTGAGACGGGCTCCGGGGAGGATCCGAGAGGACTCGGGGACCCGCGCTGAAGGGAATCTGGGACGAGCTCCGGGACGCAGTCCCCCCACCCCCCATGATGGCGCCTCGCGGCCGCGAACCTGCCGCCAAACCTCCTCTCCTGTCTCCCCACGTCTTTGTCGGGCGTGTCCACCTCTCCGGGGACCCCCGTTCCATATCGGGCCGCAGCCCCATTGTGTCCCCGCCCCGGCCTGCAGACCCTCGCGGGGACAGCGCTGCACTCAGCTCGGGTCTCCCTGAATGGACGCGCGCCCCCGTGGGTCCCCACACAGCCTGATTTGGAGATCGAGGTTAAGGAAAGTTCGCAGCGCAATTCTCTCTGATTTATTCAAAGGTCTGGCGGCCTCGCGTCCCCCCCCCCCTTCCGCCTACACCCCCTGCGTCGCCCAGTGTCGCCTCATTCCTTTCCCTTTACCGGATTCGATTGCCTCACTGCGCGTTCCGAGCGCGGAGAACAACTGTTCGCGTCCAGACCGTCTTTGTTAGTGTTTCTGTCGCGGGGTGGGGGCGGTGGGCGTGAGAGCGCGGGCCTGTGCGGCCGTTTTGCGGACTGCGTGCGAAGGCTGCTGGGGCAGCATCTCCCCGCGGTGCTTCGGGGAGCCAGGAGGGACCATCGCCGGCCACATCCAGACACTATGGTAGTCGCGGCTTTTGTTTATTCGGAGGCACATGCAGTTTTTCTAAATGCATGGTACAAAATAATCCGGCCAAGAGCTTTCCACCTGAAAATCCCAGCCTATGTCACAGCCGTCTAAGAGAGCGTCGTTGTAGAGTACATGTTGTCAACCCCAGCCTCTTTCTTCTCCCTCTAGGGTTCTTGGGTGACATCTGAAGTTTTCAAAGCATGGACTGCAAGGAGTTGCTTGGTTTATGTAATGTCTTCCTGTTGCTGGAGCAAAAATCACAGTATGCCCTTTACAGCATCTCTCCCTCTAAGGGCCTGTGGTGGATAATGTGCCCACACCTCAGCACAATGAGAAAACTGTTCCTGACCAGGTTCATTTTTCATCGTGTTTATAATTACCACTTTAAGTTTTACCGGAAGCTGATGAGCTGTGCTGGAACAATTCACAGAGTCGAGGCAGAGGCAATATTCACTGCCCGGGTATTTTCAATTGGTGTGAATATGTTTTGCACCAGTGTTTCTGTGATGTAGGTACCAGGCCTAAATAGGCTGTACTGACTGTTGGGTTCGTGGTGTTCCTCCCCCCCCCCCCCGCCCCCCTTTGCTTTTCTCATTTTCAGTTAGATGACATTTCTGTGAAGGTGGAGTGCCGTTTGTGTAAGTCTGCATTTCTTAGGAAACTGTAAACCAGGGTCTTGAGAGATGGGTTTTCTGGGGGTGGGGATGCCAGAGGCTCCTGAGGATGATCAGGTTTCTTCAGAGGATAGGGATTTGTCCTTGATTTAGTTTTGACCCCTGCAGCCATAGGTAGTAACCACATATATTCTTCCTTTGTAGTGTCCTTTAGTTTTATACCCTTGGAGAGATGGTGGTCCTGACATTTTGGAGGAGTAACCGGTTTGTTTGTTTGTTTGTTTGTTTGAAATTAAAAATGCTAAACTCTTGTTCATCTTGGAATTTAAATTCCTTTTCTGATAAATTTACATGATCATTAAGAGGAAGTAAATCTTGGTCCCCAGTTACACATATTAGTTAAAAACTAAATTTCGGTTTCTAATCTTGATTTGCAGCTATTCTGGGCTCAAGATAAAATGCAGTGGTAGACCGGAAGAAGGGTAGACTGATGGAGTTAGATGAGCATATTTAAACTGCAGTAGCCTACATAATCAAGGCCAAGTGTGTGTGTGTGTGTGTGTAAAACATAATCAAGGCCAAGTGTGTGTGTGTGTGTGTGTGTATAAAACATAATCAAGGCCAAGGTGTGTGTGTGTATAAAACATAATCAAGGCCAAGTGTGTGTGTGTGTGTGTGTAAAACATAATCAAGGCCAAGTGTGTGTGTGTGTGTGTATAAAACATAATCAAGGCCAAGGTGTGTGTGTGTATAAAACATAATCAAGGCCAAGTGTGTGTGTGTGTGTGTGTGTATAAAACATAATCAAGGCCAAGTGTGTGTGTGTGTGTATAAAACATAATCAAGGCCAAGTGTGTGTGTGTGTGTGTGTGTGTGTGTGTGTGTGTAAAAGATCTTATTTGTGTGGTCTTACAAGGCTAATGGAGGCATTGCCGAGACTTTATAAATAATGAAAGTTGTGTGTAGTGCAGAGTCTCCAGAGAGGCAGAGAGAGCATCATTACCAGCCTTTTCAACCTGCTGGAGATCTTAAATTGATTTACAGCACTGAACTGGTGCAAAATGATACATCAGGATGACATGGGGTCAGCCTGTAAAAGTCTATGATGTCAGCCTATTAGTTCAGTCATCATAATTAAACCGTATTATAGGGGCAGCTAAGCAGGAGTCTGGCGTTATACTTCAGATATGGGTGGTACATGGATTCTGTGTATGATGGAGAGGGGAGATGGTGAAGAATCCCGTGTTTCTAAAAGAGGGGAAAGTGTTCTGAACTGTGATTCCTGGGGTGGGGGGGGACAAAGTAAATGTCAGTGGTCGTGCCTTGTGAAAGATGCAGCTTTTCATTGATGCTCTGGGGTGGTAATGGGGACCTTTGCAGTTCTGATCTTAGTATCAAATCGTGCTTGTGTCAGTGTGAATTTCACTTGGCCTTCTGGATCCTCTGAGATATCAGAGGGTAGCATCCTTCTTTGTTTCTGACCATTTGTCAGCTCGGAGCTTGCACTGTGCTGGTGAGTGAGTGCGGATGTTATTGCTTTAACAGGTCATAGTCACCAGGCTGCCACTGAAAACAACAGGACTCAGGTGGAAAAGAAAGACCCTTGCTTTTGCTTAAGTTCTTATAATTTAGGCACGCTGTCTAATAAGGTAGAAATAGCCTTGTCTGTGAAGCCCCATCATCATTTAAGATACAGTGTTGCCAGTACCACCCACATTTCAAGTAGTCATATGTCACTACCATGTTGAATGGAATGTGCGTAGGACAGTTTTTATCCACACAGAAAGTTCTAGACTCTAGAATCTAGAGAGTCGACCCAGGACTCCTCTGCACAAATATTTTTTCAGAAAGGCAGTTTGGCAGCCTGGGCTACACAGAGAAACCCTGTCTCAAAAACCAACCAACCAACCAACCAACAACAACAACAACAACAAATTCAGTTTGGAATGATGCTTGAAGACAAAGGTTAAAATGAAGTTGGCTTTTCAGTAGATCTTATTTCCCCTTTGTGACCATGATTTAGAGCACTAGGTAGATGGAAATTATTTTAGTTTTTTTCTATCTTTCTGAGTTTTTACTGTGTGCTAGGCATTGTTTATGGTGGTTATAACTTTTTAAGCTCTGGAACTTCACAGAAGAGTGTTGTCCCCATCTTACAGATAAAGAAAGCAAAGCAGAGTGATTGTGTGTTGCGTCAGGCCACACAGTTGGCGAGTTCTTAGGATTTAGTCTAAGCAGGGATATGAATCAAGCAACCTGACAGCCCTGAGCCTCATTCTTAACTGTTTCATTGGTTTTCTGTTTTGTTTGTTTGCTTGGAAAACTTTTTTTCTCTTGAACTCTCTTCATGCACAAGAGATGTTTCTGTGACCCGAGTATGCCAACTCTTATGAAATACCAACCCTGAAATAGGTCCACAAACCAAATACTCACTGATAATTAGTTACAAAGAAATATTCATTATTAAAGGCCAGCGGGATGGTTCAGCCTGTCAGGAAAGCTGATGACCTGAGTTTGATTCCAGAACCCACGTGGTGAAAGGAGAGAGCAGACTTCCACAGGTTGCCTCTAACCTCTTGAAATAAATTAAATATAAAAATATCTTAAATTTATTTAAAGGTAATTCTTTAGTATACACATACATACACATATACATACCACTTATTAAAAAGGAAAATAAATTTGCTAACTAATCAGATGGATACTCTTGCTTCTTTATTTTACATTAAAAATCGGCTGGGCATATAGGACATGGAGCCTCTTAAGAGTTTCAGAGTCGATCCATACTTTGGCTTTATAATTGTCAGTGCTGGGAATACCACTTAAACCTGAATATGCCGTGTCAAATGGCAGAAGTGTGTTTAGGGCTGTTTTAGAAATTATCGGGAATTCTAACCTAGTCCCAAGTCAAATTCATTGAACGTGTTACAAAACTCAAGCCCAACAACTCGAACATCGATTTGTAGGATCAAACATTCTACCACAATCCAGTCCAAGGATACGTGCTTCGGGAGGTGTGGGAGAGTGCTGAGAGAAAGGCTCTGTGTCCTGTAACTTACCTGAAGGTTAAGGACAACCCACTGCAATCTTCTCTTCTCCACTGTATGGGTTCCAGGAATCAGGCTCAGGTTATTAGGCTTAGCAGTCGACACCTTTGCCCCCAGACCCTTCTTGCTGTAGCAAGGCATTGCAGTTCTATAAGAGTTAAAAATTTGGTGTCTATAGTAAAACAACTATATATATGGTAGTTTTTTCTCTGTAATTCATAATATAGGATAGTCTCAGATTGGAGCTGACGTGTTGCCCTTAGTGTGACTGTGTGGTAGAAGGACATGCGTGGGCAGTGCAGAGCATACATGCTGCATGTTCCAGCCCAACTTTATGGTGCAGCAGGGGTGCCAGGAACACCTTGGATTCACTGTCTGTCTGTCTGTCTGTCTATCTATCTGGAGACCCTTAACTTCACTTGAATTCGATTTGGAATACCTAGTAGGCTTTGCTTTGTCCGTGTGGACATAACTCT